ATGTTTTGTTCAAAGTTTCAAAACTATGAACAACACTCAAAATATTCCATAACAGTTTAGGCTTATGTCAACATGAGAAAAAGGAGTTTGATGATGAAGAACAAACCACACTACAATAAAATTACCTTAAGTGAATTTCCTTCCGCTGAATATCGAAACTCTAACATCTGTCTAAGTACTTGAAACCGTTTCCAACACTTAGTCAAACATTCGAATTCTTTATTAATGACTAAAAATTACATATCAGGAAAATATTCAAACTTAATTGAAAAATAAAAAACCACCTTTGCCCTCCCGAGAGGTTACAAATCTTATTCCGGGTTATATCGCAAGCCTCTGCAAAGCAATTTGAAGTTCTTGCTCGGAATCGACGGCACGCCTAACCGCAAGCGTTTTATCACCAGTCTTAATCCCGTTTAGAGCAGCACATGCAATATCTGTTACTGAAGAATCTTGGTAAACACATAATGCATATCCCTTGGAGTTTCCTGTTTCTCTTTCTTTAACCAAGTTGAATCCTCTTAGGGGCCCAAAAGACTCCAAGAGATCCATGATATCTGCCTCTGTTAAGTAACAAGGAAGCTCACCAACAAAAACACAGTGCTCTAAAACCTCAAGTTGCTCCGTTTTAGGTCGATTCCCAAGATTAACCGTACGACTTACCGCAAGCGTGTTAACGCTATCGCCAAACTTTGCCCCGTTTAGAGCAGCACATGCAATATCTGTTACTGAAGGATCTTGGTAAACACATAATCCATATCCAGTTGGGTTTCCAGTCGCACTGTCTATTCGCAAACAGAAAGCTTTTAAGGTTCCAAAAGACTCCATGACATCTGCTATATGTTCCTGTGTATAGCAACGTGGAAACCCACTAAAAACAATGCCGCTCGGATCCTCAAAAAAACCAGTAGGTCTCCAAGACATTCTTCTCTTTTCTTTGTGCCTCCTCTATTAACAAAAAAAAACAAGAGAAGAGAGGAATAGGGTTTTAAAAGCGTTTTTACTTAATCAAACAAGTCGTGAATTTTCTTTAGAAGAAAACAGCTCTATTTATAATAACATAGAACCGACACACAAAAGAAAAAAAGGAAAAAACATCCAAAAAGCCTAATTCTAAATGGATTGTGATAAGGGTTATTGTCTAAATCAGAGAGGTTTAAGATATGTCGTTTGTTGTTGGATATCAACTACCTTACCATCAAAACAAGTCCTACAAATTTTTATTTTACGATCGAAAGAAAGAAAACTCAGGCTACCACAAGTTATGTGCTCCTCTTCATTTTATCAAATCCTATAACTGGAAGCCCTAATTTTAACTTTTCTCCAGATCATAAGACATCATCTCATCAAGAGCCTCACACTGACCGCACCTTCGAATATAAGCAACAAAGGTTGCTAAAAGGGTTCTGCAGCTTTGGGCCTTCGTAACCTCGTCTTCAATGGAAGGGAACCTAGCTGCAGTGCTCCCAAGACCTATATTGACCAGAGACTGCCTAACGGTATTACTGCATGAAATATCCTTAAGGATACCTTCACAAAGTGTCAAGCCTTGTGCCACATAGCGTCCCACCTTTTTTGTGGTTTCAGAAAGTTTCAAAGGTTTTGAACTGCTTTAATTTTCCTTCTACATTGAGTCCACTTCGTTCTTGATCACTGTGACGTCCCCATCTTCGCTCACAGACAATTTTGTTGTGTCCATCTCCTCGACTATGAGATTATCGTTGATAATGGGATACAATTCAATGAAATAACTCTGACCACCCCACAGACAAATATTTTCTTGCACCTTAAGTTAGGGTTAACGCTTGTCTCGGGATAAGTGATCTTCCTTTGCAATCTCTTGTCTTATGAAATGACACGTCTTCTTGATCGAATCCTAAGAGTCAAAATCTTCTATTGGAGACCAATGCCATGTAATGGCCATGGTTGGCTTCACCAGCAAGCTTTTCCCCTCAGTATAATCCACATTCTTGATGATGAAGCCAGTATCGAGGGAGAGATGCCATCTACTTGACAATGCAGCTCTCAAAATATCTCCAAATCAATTGCTGATAATTCCATACTGAGGACGTTTCTTCGTATGATAAGGATATATTCATTAGAAAATTTGGTATTGAAAACAGTCCTCACTTGTTCTTATGAAATTTATGATAGGGATCGGCTACAATATTTTGTTATGATTTATCGATGCAGTTACCTTCATAGGAGCTTGATGCTAAGGATAAATATTCACGACGACACATGGGACTTTCATAACATTATATCGAGGTGATTTCGTGTTGTATCAAATATCTACTAATATAATTAGATTTTTTTTTTAAAAAAAAATGGTGAATAGACTTGAAGCCTTTTGGATCCTTAAAACTTTTGTTTGTTTTTAAGGGTCCAAAAGGATCCCATGAAGATGGAACTAATATCAAAATAAGCATGTACCATATGTTGGTCAATTGTTAAAAAATATATGGATGATAATATCGACTGAAAGAAGAATAAATACTCATATATGAGATATTTATATATTTGTATATTTGTATATATCTAGTCAAAGAATATTCTGTAGTATAAATATGTATGTACTCTAATAATTATAATTATGAGAGCAATGATAATTATTAACAATTCTTTTTTCTCTCATTGATATCTATAACAACAAGAGCAAGATGAAGAACGTAAAGGAAGATTTGGCGAGTGAGAAGAAGACAACAACAATTATGGATCTATCAGATGGAATTTTGACTGAAGAAATTTTCAGGAGGATACCAGAACCGTTGGATCTGTGGCATATGACAAGAGCGACCAAACACTGGAATTTGCTTTTCAAATCCATGAAAAACCCTTTCTCTGGATTGAAGTTGTGTACCAAATCCGCTAACGGTGAATCAATAACGATTACAAAAATTTGTTTTTGACTTCTTTTTTTTTAAATAATAATAATATTGATTTTATTATAAATCGGTCGTAGCAATTCGTTGAATGGTATCAATTAAGATGCGAGATTCAACTTTTTCGATTTATGTTGCAAATAATTTATAACAAACACAGTTCCATCGACTTTGCCCTAGTATAAAGTACCGTCAGATCCAAGTAATTAGAGGAATCAAAGAAGACGACGAGAATGGCTCACAGAAATCTTAGAGATCATGATGCCGATGGCTGGGATCGCTCCGATTTTCTCAATCAATCTTTGATTTTTCTGTTACTTTGTATTTTTATTTTTATTTCTTTTTGTGTTCCAATGCCCCCTGTAGAAGATTTTCAGGTCTCATCTCTAATTTAGTCTCTTGCTCGTTCATGTTTTATATTTGTATATTGTATAATTTATAACTTGGTAAAATATTTTAGGTTTAGGGTTTTGCTAGTCATCAAATTCGTAGGAACTTTGGCATTTAGTTCCAAATTCGTCTAGTTATAATGGTTCGAAGTTATTATAGCTGGCTGATAACTTGTTTCCAAGTCATATTTCTTGATTTTATTAGATTTCTTCCTTATTTTTATGTTCTATAGTTCTTTATCTTCATTCTTTTGGTCTCCTTCCTCATTGTTAACGTATATGTTTTTCGTATTTTCAGAGATTTTTCTTCATCAACTTTTTGTTCTTCTCCTTCTTCTTTCTTTTTTCCATCTTTGTATTCATCATCTTCCACTTCTACTTTTGCTTCTTTTTTTTTCTTTTGGTTTCTTTTTTTTAATCTTCCTTTTATGAGTTTGTTTCGCCCTCTTATTTTTACTTATTTAGTGTATATATTCTTCTTCTTTTACTTGTATTCGTCTTCTTATTTATATTTTGATTTTTCTTCTTTTTTCTATTTTTCTTATTTTTTCATTATCTTTTAATATTTTTTTATTATCATTATTCTTTTAACTTTCTTTTAAAAAATTTTACTCTTACTCTTATTGATGAAAAATAATAAATATAAAAGTATGTAAATTAACTGAATCAGTGTTATTTTTTTTCTCTTTTTAAAAAAATGAAAAATAATAATCATTTTAAAGTGTGTGAATTAATTAAGTTATTAACTTTAGTTCTTGTTCAGTTGATGATGTGGACGAAAACTCTCTAATTACATAATTGTATGTTCAAAATAGAATATATATATATATAATTTTATTTATCTTTTATAAGAATATTCTCTAGTATAACTATGTATGCTACCTAATCATTATATCTTCTTAAATCTCTCATCGATCTCTGTAACGAGAAGAAGAAGTTAAGAATAGGATGAAGCAAATCAAAAGGGAAAAGTGGAAGATGAAGAGAAAAGAAATAAAGAAAGAAAAGAGGAAGAGGACTACAACAATTATGGATCTTCCTGATGGAATTTTTATTGAAGAAATTCTCAGGAGGATACCAGAACCGATGGATCTGTGGCATATTACAAGAGCAACCAAACGATGGAATTTGCTTTTCAAATCCATGATTAACCCTTTCTCTGGATTGAAGTTGTGCAGGAAATGTAGTGGTGAATCAATAACGATTACAAAAATTTGTTTTTGATTTAAATAATGTTTGATTTTATTATAACTTTATGGATGGTTTCACGTTTTCTTATTAATGATAATTGTTTTACATTATCAAAACGTTCCTCGTTGAAACAAAAAAATCAGAGCTCAGTCACGGCCGCGTATCAGATCAGATAGATCAGAACAATGCATAGGACCCAACCCACGCTGAAGCCAAATTCTTCACAGCTCATTCTGCACCAGCCGGGAATCGAACCCGGGTCTGTACCGTGGCAGGGTACTATTCTACCACTAGACCACTGGTGCTTGTTGTACTATCATAAACCATTTTAATATTTATTTATAAATACTGAAATTAGGAACTGAATTTGAATATAACTAATTCCAGTTATCGTTTTGAAACCAAATTAACCTAAACAGATTCCCAAATTAGTTCTCCTAAACAGATTCCCAAATTAGTTCAGAGAGTAAGTTTGTTTATGCTGTTTCGAACCAATATGTAATTGAAAATCCAAATTGAACGAAATACTATTAGTTGATTAAATAATTTCAACGTTTTCATATTAATAAGGAGAATCTTTGGTACAAAACACAAAATTGAACTAAACCGGAACCATGCCAGTAGAGCTAAACCAATCAATCAAACACTTTTCAGGAGAGATCACCGATTACACGTTCACATTTGTCTTCCATTATCTTCACAGCTTCAGTGAAGAGAACATCTGGAGGCAGTGATCCAGTGGACTCAATTTTAACTGAGAAAAGACAAATAACAAACTCGATTAGGGTTTCTTTCAAATAGATCATAATTTGCCAGAGTAAAAAGAATGTTTTTACTTTCTCTTCTTACATATAAAATGGTTCTTGACACTGCGCAGATCCACCAGGTCTTCCAAACCAGTGTCTCTAATGCATTCGCTACACAAAGTGCAATTACGAGGCTGTGCTACCGTTGCCCTTTTCCTACCTGTTAGTTTACCAATATTTCAGAAAGTTGTGCAGCCAAGTTTCACAAGAATCTCCTCTTGTTATTCAAAAAGCAGATAAGAAGATTTGAAGGAACTTTGGGAAGGCTTTTACTTTACCATTGCCCATGTCTTCAATGTCAAAAACATTCTGTGGGCAGGCTTTTACGAGTTGTTCAGCTTGCTCATTCTCAACTTCCCCTAGTAGAACCACCTATGATAGTTTCAACAAAAGCATTTGAAAAGATTAGGACGAGGCAAGAAAAGACAAAACCCCTTTTTACTAGAAAGCACAATAGATTGAGGTATGAACTTCACACCTCAGGAAGCATTCGATACCAAGCCGTCCCTACTGGGGACCATTTTGCATGTGTTTTACCAATGCCTTTAATCGCATGAGCTTCAAGCTCGATTTCCTGCAAAAAGTAGATAAAATTAAGACGCAAGTGTTTGGTGTTTGGTTAATCTCTCATCGCAAGTAATTAAGAAGAAGAGAAACAGTACCTGACCAGGGCTGAGTTTTGCTATCAAGATATCGAGGTGGCTCGGAGCGATAGGATTATTCGCAAACTCAGGTAAGGAATCTTGGCTACAGCTGAATGAAGTGTAAGTCTTTGGCTTTGAGTTTGAACCTCCTGATTCTTTGAGAAACTCACTTCCATTTGGTAACCATATCAATTCGTTCGTCAAAACTACAAGTGAAACCTCTTCATGAGAGATCGACCTGACAATAAAGCAATGAATCTTCTGATGCTAAACTAAGAACAGATAATTACCTCTAAGACGTGGTGCACCTTTTGGACATTTCACATGGAGTTTGAAAACAATGGTGTTCTTTTCATTCGGCTGATCATTCTCTATGACACACAGAGATAAATAATTAAGCTTGACACTAAAAAATATATTTTCTTGTGGAGATGGATCAAATGCCACTGAATATTTTCTTACCGGATAAATATTCAAAGAGTCTCGGATCCACAGCAATCGGAATAAGACCAATCCTGTGAGCAAGAACTTCGTCTATAATAACCGATGTGTTGTATGCTATAAGGACCTTTTCAATAGCCATTGTAGGAACCTACAGTAAAGGAAACACATTTTTTTAACCAGAGATTCTAATAATCAGGACTCAGAGATTGTGAACCAGTGGACATACCTCAGCTATAAGGATCCTTCTAAATGCATTGGCAAATGCTGCATCTATACCAATCATATCAAACTCCATGTCTGTCTCTGTGCAGCTAATCACATCAACTTTGAAATCCTCATAGAAGTTTTTTAGTTTCACACTTTCGTCCACTCCCACAGAGATATCGCCACCCATGTAAATGGTATCCTGAGTCTACAGAAAACACACAAAAACAAGAGCACAACAAGATTTAAGGGCTTCAAGTTTCAAACAAAAGACCAAAGCCACGGTTTAATCTTGTAAATCCACAACTTTTTTACAAGAATCTTACTCTATATTCGACACGAAAACCATGAACACAGCAAAAGATAAAACTCTAAAAACTGAGAAAAGCCAATAAATTTCTAACTAGCTGAACCTTTAAGCAAACAATACAGAACATGAAAAGTTCATACATCAATAGGAGCATCATTTTTGGAGAGGACACGATTTTGCTTGACTTTCAGATGAGGAGGAAGACCGGAAGGGACGTCGGAGAGATCCTCGATGTTGAAATTCTTTGCGAATATCTTCTCTTCCTCGGTCACCATCCTTCTCTGCAGCAAAGTTCGATTTTTTTAAAAGAAATTGCGAGTAATTTCGGTCAAATACTGACTAATCTTTGGTTAAACCTCTGTTAGGGTTTATCAAATACCGATAGAAACCTTAGCAGAGGCAAACAAAAAGCTTAACGTTTTGAAAGTAAACCATAGGGGATGCTATGCTTTAAGAGGAAAATCGAAGAAGCTTACTTCAGAACTATAAGGATTGAGATTTTGAGAGAAAACGCAGCGGCGAAGAGGAGGATGAACAACAAACGGCGGCGAAGGGTTTGAAAAAAGCCGTCGTCTTTAACAATTTAGTATTTAGGAAAATTTGCAAAGAAACCTTCAGAATAACCATTTATTGCAAACTGGCCCTCATCACGCAAAACATTTGAAAACAAACCGCTCTAATTAAAACTCGCACAAAACAAACCTCAAACATTATTGTCGTTTCTTTAAACTTAAAACGGCACATGATTGATTGACCTGAGAAAAGGCACATTATTCTTGTACTTGCAAATTCTGGCACATGATTTGTACTTGTAATTTTGGAGAAAAAATCTAAGGTTTCAGGTTATAACTTACTCAATTTTTGAAAGATAATAACAAAACTTACACGACTTAGTGTCAAAAATCACATATTTTCATGATTCCACTCATCGGACAAAAGAATAAATTATCTTTCTATCAACTTATAATCCTCTGCAACCCTGTAACATTCATGACCAAATACTACATACTACAGTAACATGAACAAAAAGCATCTGTCTCATTATAGTCTTCTGCTTAGCAAATCAATCAGATTTCTTGTCTGAACAAAAGGATTATGGTATATATTACTGACACTCTGCTAAGAGAAGGAAGAGCTCTTCATCTGTAATGGCTCCCATCTCCATCGCTCTTTCCAATACACTTAATCCTCCACCATCCTCTATTGATGGACGAGCACCTCTGCATATATTATCCAAAGAAAACGAGACAATTATTAAAAGGCAAAACTTTTCTGGTGAAGTTAAGAAAAGAAAAAGAGTTTTACCTTCTCAGTAAAACCTTTGCAAACGTATTGTTCCCTGATGCTATGCAATGATGTAACGGAGTTCTTCCATGATAATCTCTCATGTTTATGTCAGCACCAAACTGCAACAACAGTTCAAGCAAGATCGGGTCACCGATTTGACACGCCACGTGCAACAACGAACAGCCTTGAAGACAGTTTCTTGCTTCGTTAGAATCCTTGATTCTCTGACACGCATTTGGATCGTGCCTTATCTTTACTCCATCTGGTGTATCACCAACATGGTGGTGATATTCATCAACGGGAGTAATATCATCGAACTTGGTATTGATGATATTCGTATCCGCTGTTACAATGAGTCTGTAGATTTCTCTTATGTTCTTACTTTGAACAGCTTCCCATATTCTACTTGAGGCACTAAGGTTTGTTTCTCTTTCATCTTTGACAACTAGCGCTTTCTCCAGGTACTGTCTAGGCATAAAACATTAGCAGGTTTAGTATTGACCAACCAATTTGACATATTTCAGTCATCAAAAGTATATGCGGAAACTTTGAGAGCTAAATACGATACCTTTACTTGAATGTATTTCTCTTTTAGAGTAAAGGAATCTTTTGAAGATGGTTTCGGAATCAATGCAAGAGTGTTAGTTGATATCTCTTCACTGCAAAAATCCAACATGAGTTAGGAAAGCAAAGAAGTTCATCAATCCTAATTCCTATGTTGGACACATTTGACTTCTTGATTGTGTTTTTAGAGATAATCTTTGCTTTCAAAAACTACACAGAATCTCACTTTCCATAAGAAATCATACCAGTCATCGTTAAGCTGAAGTAGCTCCTCCCATACTCCATTACAATATGCATTGCCTAAGTTTCGAAATAAGTCCAAGATTGTGGGCTCCCATACTTTCACATCCAATGTGAGTGATCTCACCTGCAGAAGATCTATGGCATTAGCTTGAATATCTAACACACGATAAACATGGTTTCCTATACAACAAACTAGCTTATACAACCTCAAACTGAATGGATACTGTACCACAACAAATACCTTGGAGATATGAACACCGAGATTCCTATGAACACCAGAGCATTCGATGCACATCAAAACTCCAAGATTCAACGATGCCCAATCGGGGTCAGGTGCATTGCATTCTGCACATGCGTTATTTCCAGGGATTCCTCTGAGTATTGTAAGGACATCATCTCCCATATTTAGTCTTTGATTATAATTTTGTTTTTGATCCAGGGAGAGGTCATAACTAGCAGGACCAGAACCAGCATAGTTTTTATCCAAGTATTGATTTGGTGACTGCAGAAGATAATACAATCTATATTAGCACAAACGCTAAACACTCGATCTGAAGTAAAAGAGAAGCCTGGGGCTTGTCTTGTGTCAAACCTGTTGCAGGAAATGAGAATTCAGGCGTGTTGCTATAGCTGCTGTGATCTTATTTACCCAATCCATACGATCAGCTCCATTTTCAGCCTAGTAGCATACAGAAAAAGCTGTGTTAGCCTCCTGAAACTATATTTGCTCCTTTGTGACCAATAAACTGGGTACCTGTAATGTGTAAGTCTTTTGAGGAGAAATAATTCTAAAACAGAGTCGGAGATCTGTGTCCTCTGCGTCCAATTTTATCAGTGAAGTACGGAGATCGATCATATTGCAATCTAGGCTTCCCTGTGAAGCTGATCGAATGTGTCTTGAACGAAATCTCCCAAAGACGCCACTGTTGTGCTCACCTAAACCACTATAGTAATGTTGAGATCCCTATGAAGAGAAAAGGATGATTAGAAGGATAGAAACTTAAAATGAGGAAAACGCAGGTGAGATAGACTTGTTTTAACAGACACATATTTAAATAAAGCCAAAACTTTAAGATTCATGAAAGAGATCAACAAAATATTAAGATATTGGACTTTTGGCATCTAGAACTATAACCAAGTTTGAAAGAATTATTGGCTCTATCTAATGGAAATGAGGCAGTAAAAAAGAGCTTGGCACACATACCGCTGATTTATTACCGGTGTTTCTGTAATAATATAGGGATCCATGATTGTCAAGCACAAAGAACCTCCTTTTCCAATCAGCTCTCAGACTAGCTGATCGCTTTAATAGATACCCTTGTTTAATTACCTGCAGTAGTACAGAAGAGAACATATGTAAGACTTAGCCTGCATGAGAACTGAAGCAGTGAAGCGTAAGACTCATTACCAAATTAGTCATTATAAATCTCAATGTCTGCATAGTTGCATTATATCTTTGAACAGAATATCCAAATCATGAAGTTATAAATTCTTTGCAGGCACAACTCAGAAATTGACAATATTGCTTCAACTTTATAAGTATATTGCTGGGAGTTGGCAAGCAAGATCCTATCGACTATGACACTTTGAACAATTTTCCTATGGAAAGACAAAACTTGACAATTTTCTTTACCAGAGAGACATTGGAACAATTTGTGTAAACTATGGCTTTGCGCTTGAATACTACACGAGTGAGTTGGAGATCCTTACTTCCTTGTCCGCTGTAGATATCGACGTTGCTTCTACGTTTTTATATGGGATAGTTCTATAAACATGGTTTCCATCAACACTAGAGGGTTCTGCTTTAGCAGAGACCTGTTGGCTATCTAATTCAGATTGAGTCCTGAATTCTTGAATGCGTCTTGCAAATCGATCTTCTTCAATCTTAGACTGTTCTTTTGATTGTTGTGCATATGTCAATACCTGTAAAAAGAAAAGTAACAAGAAGCAGTGCTTATCAATTTTATTAGAAAACAGGGTGGAACTTTTTAATTATAAGTTTAATAGTATTTTAACTGTTTAGCCTCTTTGCCTATTCATCACTAACTCTCGCTTCGTTTAAGATTATATATTTCTACTCATCTTACTTCACATGTTAGCTGAGTTAAATTTCTTGTTCTTTTAAAAACCAAACTTGTCCATCATCAACAATTATACACCAAATTACTATAGCCAAATTTTATCTTAAAAACAAAATGTTAGACTTTCAGAAAACTTTCGCCTTTTTTTCCTTTCAAGTTTATCTTTGTCGTGGAAGCACAGAACAAAAGGGCAGGAAAGATTTATAAATGGCAATATCTGGCACCCGTCTCAAATGCATTCGTTTTCTGTTTATTTGGACTACTGAAAAGGGTTTGACATTAAGGTTGTACCTGATGGATATAAGGCTCCATTTGGCTCAATAGCTCATACCCCTGAAGCACAAAGAGACCACATTAAGGAATACAACATGGCATTGGCACAGATGTTGCCCTAAGCTGGTCACACTTGGTGATGTCTCAAAATGCAAAATAAGAAGAAACCTACAAGCTTAAAATATCTCAAATGGGAATCCATAATTGCACTTATAGATTCCAAGAACTCGTACTTCTTTTTTGCTTCAATGGTCATCAATGAATTTACCTGCATTCCTTAAACCAAAGAGAAATACATTTAGACGAAGAAAGGTCAAAAAGACAATAATACTAGTGGCTTATGTTTGTAGACTTAGCATACTAGATTGAAACGACTTTTCTCAAATGCTGACTTCGAATTCTCCAGATCCTGTAAATACAACACTACAACTGTGTTACCATCCCAGATTTGTGGAGGAGTATATATCTGCTTGAGTGTCAAATGATCTATATATTGCACATATACAGTTTACGGATGCAGGTATACAGATAAAGACATATACATCACAACGTGAGATTTTGCTTGAATTTTCCTCACTAGCCAAAATGAGAAGAATTACAGTGCTAGTACCTCTTCCAACTCAGCAACAATGTCTCCTCTGGTATTCTTCTTTAGCGACACAAACTTTTCGCGTGCCTTCAAAACGGATAATAAAATGCATTGCTTAGCTTCAGATCAAGAATGCCATGCAGAAACATATTATCTTAAAGTAGATTAAGCATCAACTATAATGCATGTCAGTCTCCCGTGTTTGAAAACTCTTGGTACTATGCAGAAGTTGAAATGAAAACTTCTTTCCAGCCTCATAATTGATTAAATATATGCACTAATTGAAGAAAAGGGATAGCATTATGATAACACCATGCATAGCTTATGCAGGAAGGCACTTTTCTTTTAAATGACCATGCACCAACCATTTCAATATATTGTGTTTCACGAAAAGCCAAGTTCATATTGCAGTGACAACAGTAATAAAATAAGGTGTACCTCTCCACGTACAATAAGTACGTTAAGCAATAGACTATTATCGATTACCTGATCATAAGAATGGACAGCTTTATCGA